GCTCTCATGAAGTCTTCTCTTGATTGTAGACTTTGGCAATGATACGCCCACCTCCTGGAGAGTGTCCTTCCCTTGTGTGGATGTTGTAAATGGGTTTTTCTTTACCATAGAGAGGATCCACCACTGTTGTCTTCCATGGACGTCCATGCCTTTTTATGTTGCTTAGCTCACCAGTGCATTATTCTTTCCTCAGAATGTAACAAACTGTTGATTTGGCCACTCCTAATGTTGCTGCTATCTCTCTGATGGATTTGTTTAGTTTTGAAGCCTTACAATGGCCTGTTTCACTTGCATGGACAGCTCCTTTGAACGTAAGATGTAGGTTCACAGCAACAGATTCCAAATGCAAATACGACACTTAGAACTCAACTCCAGACCTTTTACCTGCTTGATTGATGAAGAAATAACAAAGGAGTAGCCCACACCTGGCCATGAAACGTTTGATTGAACAAAGTCCAATTACTTTTGATCCCTTGAAAAAGGGAGGGGGGATGGCTACTCTCAAGAGCGGTAATTTCTAAACCCTTCCTCCAAGTTGTATGTACATACCCTCAAATTAAACCTGAGAGTGTGCACTTTCAGCCCATATCCATTATATAACTATAGCTTAAATATGTTTTGGTAAATACCTGAAAAAAAATCTAAAACTGTGCCTGTGTCCAAATATATATGGACCTATCTGTATGTAAACTGGCACCTAAAGCCCAATTCACACTTGCAAATGGGGCAATTTGTGATTACTTTTGGAGACTCAGCAGGGAATCTATGCAGAATAGGTGGTGGCGGGCAGCCCCATTGAAAGCCATTAGTGGCCATTCACTGCCCATGCAGTGATTACCTGCAATTGATTAGATCTGGACACAGAGGGTTCCCACAGGCATCAATTTGCAAAGATATCGCCACGATTCTCCTGTGGGTAAATCACAAATGGCTCCATATGCAAGTGTGAGTAAAGGGGCTTAAAGTGTTACTAAACCAGAACCCTGCATTCTCTATATCTGGGCTCCCAGAATACACAGAACACGGACATTCATTATTTTAGGAAATATAAACTGCTAAATACCTTTTCTCATCAGCAGTATATAGCCGTCTTGTGACTTCTATCAGTGTCCAGCTGACACTGGCTAAAGCTTGTAGGAGGAGTTTTCATTCTCCTCTCACTTTCCTATGCAGCTGCATAACCCCGGACCCTCTGCCTGGACAGTGCTGATTTGCCCTGTGCAGATCACATGCACCCTCCCAAAAGAAAAAAAAAAAAAAAAAAAAAAAACACTTTCTAGCAATACACACCAGATTCAGCATATGCAGAGTAAATCCAAGAGCTCTTTGCGATCTGGAGATGGATTGGGGACAGAAGAAAAAGGGGAGGAACGTAGAAGACAGGATCAAACAGCCTTTTCACGCAATGTGGCAGATTAACCCCTAGGTATCACAGTGAGTATAACAAGCATGCTTTACTGCATATACAGACTGATTTTACTGCTGTGGGTTTAGAAACCCTTTAAAACTTGGAAATCTGGTTAATGTAATACATTTACAAAAGCATTTACTATTGTCTCTCATTTTTAGTACAAAAGTGGGGTATGGGCCTAGCAGCCATATTAACCACTTGAAGACCAGGCCTAGTCTGACACTTTTTTTTTTGTTTACTAGTAAAAATCTGTTTTTTTATGCTAGAATAAAAAATTACACCCAAACATTATAATTTTTTTTTTAATATACTTTACTGAATTTTAATGCAAAAAAAGAAAACCACACAATATACAGTATCTCACAGAACTGAGTACACTCCTCACATTTTTGTAAATATTTTATCTTTTCATGTGACAACACTGAAAAAAATGACACTTTGCTACAATGTAAAGTAGTGAGTGTACAGCTTGTACTTAGGGGGTGTACTCACTTTTGTTGCCAACAATTTAGACATTGACTGTGCCGAGTTATTTTGAGGGGACAGCAAATTTACACTGTTATACAAGCTGTACACTCACTACTTTACATTGTAGCAAAGTGTCATTTCTTCAGTGTTGTCACATGAAAAGGTATAAAAAAAAAAAATTTACAAAAAATGTGAGGGGTGTACTCACTTCTGTGAGATACTGTATAACCCATTTTTTATAACATATAAAATAATTTTACGCTGAGTAAATAGATACCCAAACATGTCACACTTTAAAATTGTGCATGCTCGTGGAATGGAGACAAACTAAAATATTTTAAAATCTCCATAGGCGATGCTTTATAATTTTTTTATAGGTTACCAGTTTACAGTTACAGAAGTCTAACACTATGATATCCACAACGATACCTTACATGTGTGTCGCTCGAGCATGGAGGGAGAGGGGCACATTTAAAAAAAATTTTTTTTTTGTTTTACACTGTCCTTTTATTTTTTTTATTCCTTTCATAAGAAATGTAAACATCCCTTGTGATAGAAATATTGGATGACAGGTCCTCTTAATGGAGACATCTGAGGGTCTATAAAACCCCAGATCTCTCCTGTATCCTGAAAGCATGAGCTTTTAAAAAAAAAAAAAAAAAAAAAAAAGTGTTTACATCTGCCAGAACCAGAAGAGATGGCATGATGTCACTTCCAGACTCCAAGACCATACAGACGGCCAAGTACTGGAAGGTCTGTGATAACTAGGCAGCACCACCGGTTTCCCCGATTGCAACGGGAGGGCACGGAGAAGCACCGGTGGGTGGCGGGAGGGAGAGTGCCCTCTCCCACCACCTGTAAAAGCAATCCAGTGGCTAATCAGACGCTAGGATTGCTTTTAGATGAAAAAGCATCACCAGCTGAAAAAAAAATACCGGGATTATGGCATACAGCTGCAGCCATAACCCCTGTATATCCACTTGAAGACAATCACGTCCATGTACATGATTTGGCATCAAGTTGGTAAAGTGCATTTGAACATCACAATATAACACACTTACTGCCCTGGGTAGTTATGTTCGTTCTTCCACTGTATCGATGAAGGAAGCCATGGTTGCCATCCAGGCCAAATTACATATATCTGCCTTTTTTATATGAGGGATGGGTAAATTTGTAGTAGACAGAAGAAAGATAACATTGTTTTTTTTTTTCAGTGCAACTCAAAGGAAGTGATATAAAAACATGTGCATACCCAAAAAATGTACTTCAAGCAGAAAGCAGATTTGAAACATAAAATTCTTGTTCATGTACTGATGGTTCAGCAAAACAATTTTTTTTATATAGAATGAACATTCTAAACATATAAAGAACAGCTGAAGCCAGCTAGGCCATAGATTTTTTTTAAACAAGTGATTTATTTACTGCAGTATATAAAAGGCTGCTGTTCCACCATAAGTTCCAGCAGTGTTTTTACAATGTGTTTATAGAACTAGGTAACAGCAGTTAATGTCATAGGGATAATAATATTTGTCCATCCATCTATAATGTTCATTCCATTTGCAAACATGTGAACTTGTGCCTGGTAAATCATGGGGGAAAGGCCAAAAGCCAACAGCCAATCACATTATCTAGCAGAGGTGAACAAATCCTTTTATGACTGTTTTCTGGTCACTGTGTCTGTTTTCTATGTACCTTGTGATGTGATTAGGAGCTTGTGCGCACCATGTCCGTTGAGCTGCGTTTTTCTGCACACGGCTGCACATGTATGGTGTGAACCAGGTACAAAGAAAATAACTTTACGTGCCCGATTCACACCATACATGTTCAATAGTGAGCAGAGAAATGGACATGGTCCAAGCAAGCCCTAAAACTCCGCCAGAGTCATATCACTTTGGATACCCACTTTACCTGATGAGCGGTCCTCTTCAATGACTACAAGAACAGTAGTTTACTTTTCTATCTCATATTTGTGCATCCAGTTACACATAATGAGAATGTTGCGGTTGTAATCACAGAGGAAAGTTTTCATTGTAGTTGCCCTTTCAGGCAATCTTACTCACTGCTCCTGGATACAAGATACATTCTAAAAACCTATAAGGAATTGTAATCACACATTCTGTACAGCAAGGCAGACTTTCCAATTTAACCCTGTTCAGTATCAGTAACAAAAGAGTCTGTATAGAAATCATTTATACTGCAAAGTGAAACAAAAAACAAGAAGCGCACCAACCTTGCGCATTACCTCAGTAACAGAATTTATTAATAAAAGATAGGTACTCACAAACAGCGAATAAAATCAGGCATGTAGTCCTCAAAGGGACTTCAAAGATAAGAAGCCAGCGCGAATCCCATCATGGGGGTAGACCAGTGGTTCTTAACCTGGGTTCGATCGAACCCCAGGGGTTCGGTGAGCCAGTCTCGCGGGTTCGGCGGAGGTAAAGACCCACACCCGACTCATATGATTCGTGCAGTAAATATTCATTATTATGTTTTTGTGTGAAAATCATGTTTTAATGGTTTTGTTCTTTGTTCTTAACGGTTTTGTTCATTTTGTGCACCTATGTATAAATATATACCTAAATATATACCTATGTTTTGAATTTTAAAAATCATATTTTATTTTTCCAATTAAGAAGGTTTCGGTGAATGCACATATGAAACTGGTGGGGTTCAGTACCTCCAACAAGGTTAAGAACCACTGGGGTAGACACTCAGTATAGCTGACGCGTTTCAAAGGCTATGCCTTCTTCCTCAGAGCTCTGAGGAAGAAGGCATAGCCTTCGAAACGCATCAGCTATACTGAGTGTCTACCCCCATGATGGGATTCGCGCTGGCTTCTTATCTTTGAAGTCCCTTTGAGGACTACATGCCTTGATTTTATTCGCGGTTTGTGAGTACCTATCTTTTATTAATAAATTATGTTACTGAGGTAATGCGCAAGGTTGGTGCGCTTCTTGTTTTTTGTTTCACTTTGCAGTATCAATCGGGCTTCCCCAGCCCTGTTTTGGAGCTGCACAACCTTGAAATATACTGGTGGTCGCTTGCTCTGGTGTTGGTTCCATCTATTTGCCACCAGTCTGGGCCCTAGAGCGCAGGAGAAATCGCAGCTAGTCTATAGAAATCATTTATATTCAGTTAGTTTACATATATAATGATAGATTTGATCAGTAAATGCTTGAGAGGAAAATTTTTCAAGAACTCTTGCATGTCCAGACTTTCCCATTGTTACTTTAAGAGAAGGGTCTTTAACAAATTTTTCCATGGCATCAGCAAATGCTTCTGCAATAGGGGGGCACAGAAAACCCGTCACATTATTTACAATTGATTCAAGAGGACCACCTGAATTGACAGCTATTACTGGGCAGTGCATGTACATAGCCTCGACTGGAACAATTCCAAAATGTTCATTACTGGGAGTGTATAATATGCATGTACAGTTATGTAAGAGATTCAGTTTTTGCTTGTCAGAAAATGATCTTAGAAAAGTAACATGGTTACCAATTTCATATTTTTCTGCAAAGCTTTTCAGTTCTTGATAATGTTCAATGTTCTCCCTGACTCTCTCATCATAACCCCCAGCGATGATGAGTTGAATCTTTTCCCAGTCCATAGAATTCAGTTTAGCATGAAGAGCACATAAGGATTCAAGTGCAAGAATAAGATTTTTCTTCCGCTCATATCTATTGATTGAGAGAAATACAATTTCTCTGCCCACTGGAACAAGTTCACTGAGATCATCAAAAATGCTGCATTCAAAGTTGCTAATATTTAACGATGGATATAAGACATCTGGCTGTATATGAGATAATGAAGAAAAGGTTTCTTGGAAGATTTTAGCAGTGAAATGACTGTTGACTACAATGCAATCGGCCATGCCGGTGGTCTTCTCTTCTAACCAGTCAATGGGAGCTCTGTAGACTTTCTTAACTAGTGAAATCCTCTGAGTAAGGAGCTGATCAGGAAAATGGCAATAAAATAAAACAGGTTTTCTGTTTCTAGACAATTTGAAAACAGGAATGCATGCAGATACCTACAAAAGAGCAAGAACAAAAATTAGAAATGCATTTTGTGCTACACATGATGACTACCAACATATAAAAAAAAGGTATAGAAAAGATTCACCCCCACCCTTTAAAATAATCACATTTTCTTACTTTGCAGCCTCAAATGAAGACAGACACAGTTTTTGTTTTATCCAGCTGTATTTACGAAGTGCAACTTATAACAACTAAGTAAAAGGTAGAACACCAACATGCCAGAAAAAAAATTCATAAACAGAATCAGGAGTTGGAAAAAGGATCACCCCGTGTCAGTATTCTGCTTAACCACCTTTTGCTTTAATTACATACAGCCTTTCGTCTGCTGGGATATGTTTCTACTAATTTTGCACATCTAGACTTTGCAATATTTGCCCACTCTTCTTTGGAGAACTGCTCAAGTTCAATTAAAATTTGATGGTGACCGTTTTTGGAATGCAGTCAAGTCATACCACAGATTTTCCATGGGGTTTAGGTCTGAGCTCTAACTAGGCCATGCAAGGACAATCACCTTTTTCTCTTTCAACCACTGTCTGGTCATTTTTGCTGTGTACTTTAGGTCATTGTCGTGTTGGAAGATAAACCTTCTTCCCATTGACAACTTTCTAGCAGAAGGCAGCAGATTTTCTTCAAGAATTGGATGGTATTTTGCCCCATCCATTTTTCCTTCAATCCTGACAAGTGCTCCAGTCCCTCCTGCAGAGAAACACCCCCATAACAGGATATTACCACCTTAATGCTTTACTGTAGGAATGGGGTTATTTGGACAGTGAGCTGTATTGGATTTCTACCAGACATACTGTTGTGTTGAGGCCAAATAATTCAATTTTGGTCTCATCTGACCATGACACCTTTTTTCCATATGGCCTCAGAATCTTCAAGGTGCGTTTTGGCAAAGCTCAATCGTGACTGCATGTGGCCTTTCTTAAGGCTTGGCTTTTTTCTTGCAACCCTCCCATACAAGCCACATTTGTGGAGAATTTGTGATATTGCTGTCACATGCACACGATGACCACCCTTTGTCATATATTCCTGCAACTGCTTCAGAGATGATGTAGGTCTCTTGGTAGCCTCTCTGACCAGTTTCCTCCAGGCTCTTTCATCCAGTTTGGAGCGATATCCTGATCCAGGGAGGGTCTGTGTTGTACTAAATACCTTCCACTTCTTTATAATAAACTTCACTGTGCTTCTAGGTATTGACAAAGCCTTTGACTTTTTTTTTTTGTATTCATCTCCTGACTTGTGCATGTCCACAACTTTATCCTAGAGATCATATGACAGTGTCTTGCCACCCATTGTTGAAAGCGCTTTTTCATGCTGAGCTAATCAAAATGACCATAGCTGATCACAGTTGAAAGTGAAATGGCTTTGTGCGCCTTTGAGAAGGCGATTAGCTACACCTGATTGAGTTTACAAGTAATTTTTAGGAGGGAGGTGATTATTTTTTCCAACTGTAAATACAGCTGGATAAAACAAAAACTTGGCCTGTCTTAATTGCAGGCATTATTTTAAGGGGGGGGGTTGATTATTTCCTATCACCACTGTATCGCTGTGTTTCCAGGATCCTTCCAACACTGATCCTTCTGGTCTCAGAATCTTCAACAATAGAGTCACCGTCCTTTCCTCCTTCCCTGGAAGCCTTTGTATTATGTGAACTCATTCACAAAATACAAAGGCTTCTGTGAATGGGCAGCAAAAAAAGGGGGGAGGTAGGCACAGTTGCTCTGTGTACTTCTCTCCTCTCTCACAGCCCTGAAGCAGAGCCATAAACCTGTCAGATATAAGTAATAGAGATAAGAACACAAAGCAGCATGCACCAACTTGCCCATAGTGTGTCTTCTCTTTTTACAAAGTGGCTGAATCCCTTGAAATCAGCTTTAAAAAACAAGTAGATAGTAAATATAGGAAAGTATATACTAATATTAGCAGCATAAGGAATAAAAAAGTCAATGTTGGTTAAGTGAAGTTCTGCTTTAAGTAGGCTTTAATGTATTTTGAAACTGTTTTCAAGACCTGCTTCCCACATTGATTTCGAAATTTGTAAGTGTATGTTACAACAGCCCTAGGCAGTAAAAACTTTGTTTCATCCCTCTTCCATCAGTTTTCATTGTGCGGCCCTGCCCATTACTACACAGCCTCTGCAATGAAAACATCCCCACCAGGTCCTCCTAACGTGCATGTACAATGGTCTAGCACTACTATGATATGTATTATTTTGCATGTTCTTGTGCTATTAATACTGTGGAGGAAAGAGGAGGAGACCTGACAGTTTGAGGGAAGCATCTGTACTGGATGACAGGAGCTCAAAGCACCGTTTGCCGATCTTTGGTTAAAGAAAGGCAATATTTTCCGGGGAGTAGCTGTCCATCTGAATTGGTGGAGGGACAAGTCAATATGCACTGAATTTATGTTCTTTTATGCTGTTTACACAAAAAAAAACACAGTGGTTTGTTGATGAACTTTATGCAAAGGAAGGACTGAATCACACGTTTTCGGGAATTTTTTAGAAACTACGGTTTTAAGATTGTTTTTTATTTTCTTCACATATTGCTATAGTATGGGATATTCATGCAGTTATTGTAGCACTGTATTGAGGGGTGGATAGTTCAGTTTTTTATTCTACTATATTTCAAGTACATGTCAGGGTTTAACTGCTGCCAGTCAATAAATGAACATTACAATCATAATATAGGCACTGGGAATAGTGAGTGCTGCTCTGTACTGAGTCCAGTATACTGGGAATGGTGTGTCAAGCTGGGTCCAGTATACTGGGAATGGTGTGTCAAGCTGGGTCCCGTATACCGGGAATGGTGTGTCAAGCTGGGTCCCAGTATACCGGGAATGGTGGTGTCAAGCTGGGTCCAGTATACCGGGAATGGTGTGTCAAGCTGGGTCCCAGTATACCGGGAATGGTGTGTCAAGCTGGGTCCAGCATACCGGAAATGGTGTGTCAAGCTGGGTCCAGCATACCGGGAATGGTGTGTCAAGCTGGGTCCAGCATACCGGGAATGGTGTGTCAAGCTGGGTCCAGCATACCGGGAATGGTGTGTCAAGCTGGGTCCAGCATACCGGGAATGGTGTGTCAAGCTGGGTCCAGCATACCGGGAATGGGTGTGTCAAGCTGGGTCCAGCATACCGGGAATGGTGTGTCAAGCTGGGTCCAGCATACCGGGAATGGTGTGTCAAGCTGGGTCCAGCATACCGGGAATGGTGTGTCAAGCTGGGTCCAGCATACCGGGAATGGTGTGTCAAGCTGGGGTCCAGCATACCGGGAATGGTGTGTGTCAAGCTGGGTCCAGCATACCGGGAATGGTGTGTCAAGCTGGGTCCAGCATACCGGGAATGGTGTGTCAAGCTGGGTCCAGCATACCGGGAATGGTGTGTGTCAAGCTGGGTCCAGCATACCGGGAATGGTGTGTCAAGCTGGGTCCATATGGGAATAGCGGGAATGGTGTGTCAAGCTGGGTCCAGCATACCGGGAATGGTGTGTCAAGCTGGGTCCAGCATACCGGGAATGGTGTGTCAAGCTGGGTCCAGCATACCGGGAATGGTGTGTCAAGCTGGGTCCAGCATACCGGGAATGGTGTGTCAAGCTGGGTCCAGCATACCGGGAATGGTGTGTCAAGCTGGGTCCAGCATACCGGGAATGGTGTGTCAAGCTGGGTCCAGCATAATGGGAATGGTGTGTCAAGCTGGGTCCAGCATAATGGAAATGGGTGTGTCAAGCTGGGTCCAGCGGGAATGGTGTGTCAACTGGGAATGGTGTGTCAAGCTGGGTCCAGCACACCGGGAATGGTGTGTCAAGCTGGGTCCAGCACACCGGGAATGGTGTGTCAAGCTGGGTCCAGCACACCGGGAATGGTGTGTCAAGCTGGGTCCAGCACACCGGGAATGGTGTGTCAAGCTGGGTCCAGCACACCGGGAATGGGTGTGTCAAGCTGGGTCCAGCACACCGGGAATGGTGTGTCAAGCTGGGTCCAGCACACCGGGAATGGTGTGTCAAGCTGGGTCCAGCACACCGGGAATGGTGTGTCAAGCTGGGTCCAGCACACGGGAATGGTGTGTCAAGCTGGGTCCAGCACACGGGAATGGTGTGTCAAGCTGGGTCCAGTATACCGGGAATGGTGTGTCAAGCTGGGTCCAGTATACCGGGAATAAAGTGCAATGCCCTGTACAGTGTGTTGTAGATGGTGAGCGATGCAGTGATGATTGTCACGTTCACTGGGAATAGTGACTTGCTTTGTCCACTGTACTAGGAATGGTGTGTGTGCTTCCGAGTGCCAAGTCCAGGATGCTGGGAGTGGTGTGCGCTGCTGTGTCCAATGTGTTAAATATGGCCTGCACTGGGCTTGGAGTTTGATGCATGCTGTGCCCTGTTTAATGCACTGGGTATAGTGTGTATTGCTTTTATGCTATGCCCATTGTTCTGTCCAATGCAACTTCACTTCTTCAATCACTTTAGAGTTAGTAAAGTCCAGTGTGGGCACAGCAATAGACTTTGGCTAAATATTAAACAACTTTAGGGAATAATGGGGGGGGGGGAATAATAGGAGGGCACACAGCTAACATAACGCAATGGTAGCTCTGAATCTGCAAATGTGAGATCCAAGTGTTCTATGTAAATTTAGAAAAAAAAAAAAAACATTTCCATTAACATACCTGGTCACAGAACACCACATCAAACTGCTCCCCGCTGAGAAATACTATATAAAAAGCTAGAAATATCATGCGAATATAAGCACAAAGAGCAAAACATTTCCCAAAAATACTTCGAGGAAGCCAGTCTCCACAACATCTAATAGAAATTCCAGAGTCCAGGGTCTCCGAAAAACAGTGGTTAGGGTCATAGTGAGCTGTCCACACTTGTACTTTACAGCCACAAGATTTCAAGGCCAGAGCTGCATCTACAACCAATCTCTCAGCACCACCAATTCCTAGGTCTGGATGAATGAAAAGCACGGTCGGTCCCATGACTATTGGCAACAGCACGCAGGCAGGAAAATAGCTATGAGAAACAAAATATTACATTAATTTACATTGGTATTTTCTTTTAAAAAGCTTGTAGTAAAATCATAAGTATACAGTGATTTTAAAGAGAACCAAGAAATCTGGCCAAAGCAAGAAAGGCGACAGAACTGAAGATCACTCAAAATAGGCAAATAATAAAATGCATATCTACAGGAGGCTGCTGGCAAATTCTAAAGATATTACTAAGCATTTGATTGATGGATGGCTTCACTTTTAATATAAATATCTAACCTCAGCATCTTATTTTATAATATTCTCCATTATAAGTTCTGCCTATGAGTAGACCCCTCAAGATATTTCCAATTAACTTTTTTAGCCAGAACTTTCTCTTTTGTAACTTTCTGTTTAACCACTTCCAGTCCGGACACTTTTCACCCCCTTCCTGTCCAGGGCAATTTTCAGCTTTCAGCGCTATCACACTTTGAATGACAATTGCGCGGTCATGCAACACTGTAGCCAAATGATTTTTTTACCATTTTTTTGAGACAGATAAAGCTTTATTTTGGTGGTATTTATTCACAGCTGGGATTTTAATTTTTTTTTGCTATGTAAATGAAAAAGTCCAAAAATTTTGAAAAAGTGTTTTTTTTTTAATAAAATTTTGCAAATAAATAATATTTCATCATAAATCTTGGCCAAAATTTATTCCGTTATTTTTTTAGTAAAAAAAAATCCAAATTAGTTTATAACCAAAAATTATAATTTTTAAACTTTTTTTTTACATTTTTATTTTTTTATATTATTATTTTTTTTACATACTGTCACCCTAGCAGTACAGTGTCACCATGGTGACACTGTACTACTTGTGGGGGGTGATGAAGATTTTTTTTTTTTTTTTACACATTGCTTTTACACCCATATAGGATGTAAAAGCAATCATTTCTCTTTCTCTCTGTCTGCATTCTTGCACTCATTGAGAAGAAGTACTGAGTGAGCTGTGATTGGTCACAGCTTGTCACATGGTACAAGGCTGTTGTGAATAGCCTTGTACCATGTGACCTCTGTGATCATTCACAGATTTCACACGTAGTAAGCAATGATGTCACAAGTGACATCTTGCTTACTACTTTGTATGTGATCACTGATTGGCCAATCAGTGATCACATGATCGGGAACTCGTACAGAGGTCCCGTCCGACGATCGGCGTTTCACTGTGTCCGGAGGACACAGCAGGCACCGGATCGCGGTGCTGCGCGCTCCCAGGGAGCGCGCACAAGCAGGGTGCGGGGAGGCCGTTTATAAACGGCCACCCGACCCTGCACTGCCACCGTCCGGCCGTTTATATGCAACGGCCGGTCGGGAAGTGGTTAAGTTTTACTTTGTTATTTTGGTCTGACTTTCCCTGACTTTTGGCTAATTTTCACCATCTGCCACCCCCTTGCCTGGTGACATTGCCCTTACTGGATACCAAGACAGGCTCATCAGTCAGTGAAATGGCAGCTGGCAGAGTTTAGCCAAGTCTGACCTGCCTATCAAGTTGTTATTCCAAACCTAGGGGGGCACAGAGTAGATAATAGTTAGAACCTCTGTCCATTTTTATTGCCATCTATGCGAACATATATTAATATTTTTAGCTACACTACCAAATTGAAGCCAAACTCCAGGTCATACTTTTTAACCAATTACAGCAGTTTTTTTCCTTTTGGGATAAAGATTTTACATGAATAAATAAAAGCTGATCATTGTAAACACCCCTGGTAGTGGTAAATGGTTTGTCTCATACATTCTGCTGCAGAGCTTACACTTCTGAAAAACAGCTGACTGTCTCGAGTGGATCACTAGACAAAAAGAAAAGAAAAAAAAAAAGCCACAAAAAAGGAAACTAATACAGACATCACATCTAAGAATTGATGCTACAATACAATAAATGTTTTCTTTTGGGTGTAATATTGCTTTAAAGTGTTACTAAACCCAGGACAGCATTCACTGTGTCTTGGGCTCCCACAGTACATGGAAGTGCAATTATTTTAATAAATATAAACTGCTAAATATCATTTCTCATCAGCAGTTATAGCAGTCTTGTGACTTCTATCAGTGCCCAGCTGAGCACTGGTTAAAGCTTGTAGGAGTTTTCTTTCTGCTCTAGGAGGATGCAAAACCCCTGACCTTTGTCTGGACAGTGCTGATTGGCCCTGTGCTGATCACATGCATCCTCCCAAGAGAAAAAAAAAACTCTCTCTAGCAATACGCAATACACACTACACTGTGCATGTGGCTACGGGTACAATCTGTCTTAGGTGGACATCTGAACAAGAGGAGAGGGCAGAGAGACAGGATCAAACATCCTTTCTACACCATGTGAAAGATTAACCGGGGCAGCACAGTGGCTTAGTAGTTAGCACGTCTGCCTTGCAGTAAATGGGTCATGGGTTCGATTGCCGACCATGGCGCCTCCTGCATGGAGTTTGCATGTTCTCCCTGTGCATGATTACTTCCCCTTGCGTGGGTTTCCTCCGGGTGCTACGGTTTCCTCCCACACTCCAAAGACATGCTGGTAGGTTAATTGGATCCTGTCTAAATTGGCCCTAATATGTGTATTTATGAATGTGAGTTAGGGACCTTAGATTGTACGCCCCTTGAGGATTAGGGGCCTTGGATTGTACGCCCCTTGAGGATTAGGGACCTTAGATTGTACGCCTCTTGAGGGTTAGGGACCTTAGATTGTACACCCCTTGAGGATTAGGGACCTTAGATTGTACGCCCCTTGAGGGTTAGGGACCTTTGGCTGCACGCCCCTTGAGGATTAGGGACCTTAGATTGTACGCCCCTTGAGGGTTAGGGACCTTAGATTGTACACCCCTTGAGGGTTAGGGACCTTAGATCGTACGCCCCTTGAGGGTTAGGGACCTTAGATTGTACGCCCCTTGAGGATTAGGGACCTTAGATTGTACGCCCCTTGAGGGTTAGGGACCTTAGGCTGCACGCCCCTTGAGGATTAGGGACCTTAGATTGTACGCCCCTTGAGGGTTAGGGACCTTAGATTGTACGCCCCTTGAGGGTTAGGGACCTTAGATCGTACGCCCCTTGAGGGTTAGGGACCTTGGATCGTACGCCCCTTGAGGGTTAGGGACCTTGGATCGTACGCCCCTTGAGGGTTAGGGACCTTGGATCGTACGCCCCTTGAGGGTTAGGGGCCTTAGATTGTACGCCCCTTGAGGGTTAGGGACCTTGGATTGTACGCCCCTTGAGGGTTAGGGACCTTGGATTGTACGCCCCTTGAGGGTTAGGGACCTTAGATTGTACACCCCTTGAGGGTTAGGGACCTTGGATCGTACGCCCCTTGAGGGTTAGGGGCCTTAGATTGTACGCCCCTTGAGGGTTAGGGACCTTGGATTGTACGCCCCTTGAGGGTTAGGGACCTTGGATTGTACGCCCCTTGAGGGTTAGGGACTGATGTGAATGTACAATATATACATGTAAATGGACAGCGCTATATAAGTACCTGAAATAAATAAAAAATAAATTAACCCTTTCCACAGTGAGTGTACCAAGCATGCTTTCCTGCATCTACAGACTGATTTTACTGTTGTGGGTTTAGTAACACTTTAAGGCTTCATGTACACAAGCAGCCCCTTTTTGTGGGTTTAGGAGCTTTTGTGTTTTTTTTGCCAACGCTCCTAAACTCAACTCCAGAACAGTCTATGTGTCCATGAAACATAGGCTTTTAGCAGAGTTTAGGAGCTGCCGTGTTTAGGTGAGGTCAAACTTCCCTCTCCTGAATGTAGAAGACCACAGGAAAACGCAAAAGGCAACAAAAACATGGTAGCGAGGTAGCCGTGATTTGCTTCTTCCCACAGCCGGCGGTCAGAGTAGGCTCTTGTACATGGAGCCTAAGGCTCCATTTAACCACATGCCGCCCAGCCACTGTAGAAATACGGCGGCAGGATGGCACGGCTGGGCAAAACCACGTTTTAAAATGTGCGTTTGCAAAACAGGTAGGCGCGAGGCGCGCCTCCGCCCTACCTGTCCCGCCGATCACAGCTGTGGATGTCAGTCACTGGGACACAGCCGGTCGTTAACGGCTGTGTCCTGCTGATTAGCGGCAATCACTGACAGAGAGCAGGACTGCAGTAGCTGTGCTTTCTGTCAGTTCCCTGTCAGCTCTTGACATGCTGAGCTGGAGAGAAGAGTTTATCTCTTCCGATCAGCCTGTCCCCCCCAGTACCCCCCCCCCCCCCCACCCTCTAGTAAAACACTCTCCTCACACAGTTAACCCTTTCAGTAAATAAAGTTAACCCCTTCCTCTCCAGTGCCATTAGTACAGTGTCAGTGGGTTTTTTTTTGCACTGATCACTGTATTGGTGTCACTGGGGATGTCAGTGACCCCAAGTCAGTTCCCCCCCAGTGTCAGAATGTCCGCCGCAGTCCCGCCATAAGTCGCTGATCGCCGCCATTATTAGTAAAAAAAAAAATAAAAATCCCAGTATCTCTCCTGCCATTTGTAAACGCTATAACTTTCACATAAACCAATTAATTTACACGTATTGGGGTTTTTTTTTAGCAAAGACATGTCGCAGAATGCATTTTGGCTTAAATTTATGATGAAATTTGATTTTTAAATTTTTTTTACTGGACATGTTTTATAGCAAAAAGTCCAAAATATTGTTTTTTTTTTTCTCAAAATTGTCAGCCTTTTTTTTTTTTTTTAATAGCGCAAAAAATAAAAACCGCACAGGCGATCAAATACCACCGAAAGAAAGCTCAATTTGTGGGGAAAAAAAAGGATGTAAATTTCATTTATGTGCCGTATTGCATGACCGCGCAATTGTCCATTAAACTAGCGCAGCACTGTATAGCAAAAAATGGCGTAAATTGCAGTATCTATACCATAGTTTGTAGACGCTATAACTTCCACACAAAGCAATCAATATACACTTATTGGGATTTTTTTTACCACAAACATGTAGCAGAATACATTTTGGCCTAAATTTATAACCAACTTTGAGTTTACTATATATTTTTTATAGCTGAAAGTAAAAAATATCATTTTTTTTTCAAAATTTTTGGTCTTTTTTTGTTTATAGCGTGAAAAATAAAAAGCGCACAGGTGATCAAAATACCACCGAAAGAAAGCTCTATTTGTGTGAAAAAAAGGATGTAAATTTCGTTTGGGTGCAGCATTGCATGACCGCACAATTATCAGTTGAATTAGTGCAGCGTCGAGTAGCAAAAAGAGGCGTGGTCATTAAGTGGGGTAAATCCTCAGGAGGGCAAGTGGTTAAATGTGTAGTTGGGGGAGTGCTAAGAATACATGGTTGAGCCGTGTTTTTGCCATTCACCTGCTGCCCCCACAAGAGGTGTAAGCCCATCAAATGTGACACATTCAGGCAAATAGGGAAATGCCTCAAGCGTCCCACAACGGAGTGCATTGCATATGGTGGCTGCACTTTTGTCAACAAAAATGGTCGGTGAGGCGGCTTCACATCACTTCCTCAACACCGATCAATGGCCTCTGAAGCACGATCCAAACACAGATCGTCCTTCAGTGGAAAGGTGTTTACAGGATACACAGCTAAATCTACCCCAACTGAAGCGGTTCTCGTAGCACAGGCAACACATCGTTCACCGATCCTCCATCACTTTACTCTGGAAATGGCAGGAAGAGAATGAATGCAACACTCCGCTCATTACTCACAGTGAATGGCCCGGTATAGTGTGCTTGTGGCCCAATCACAGAAGACTATGCCCTCCAATAACACCGAATCACAGTCATTCATAACAAACTGCAAGGCTTCCGGGAAGAGTGCCTGAGGACCACTTCCCATATCCCCGGCTCTACCACTCACTTCCGGCTTATACCACACCCACGAAGGCCCTCCCCCTACTGACTGACACCTAAACACTTCTTCTGCCAGACAGCCGACGTGTCCCTCACACCCACCTGACAACTCTACACAAAACAGGCAATAATGAGCGTAAAATACGGCGCCATCATTGATGAGACATTTCCCATAGAATATAATGAGCCGTTATCGTCGACAAAATGGCTGCCTCTCCAAACAGCAGGCCAATAGAACGGAAGACGACGTGGACTAAAGAGGGCGTAGAACAGAAAGGCTGCCCTGCCCGTCTGAGGGAGAATCGAGCAGTGTGATTGGTTAGTGAAGCAGCTTCCTGTTACGCAAGACCTCCTTTCAGCATTGGAGTGACGCTGCCTTCCCATTTGTGCGGAGCGGATTAGCCGGGTGTGTAGTAGGCTTCATCACCTCTCAGCAACATGGTAAGACGGAGAGTGCTACATGCAATGGTGGTCTGTCAGTGTGATATCTGGGGGGGGGGGGGAATGGATGTGACAGTCATCAGTGTAGGTAACCTAAAAAAAACCTGCAGTGTTGGCAGTTTCGGAGCTTTCTATAGTCCTGTAATTACAGCGATCTGCCTACAATTGGGTCGGTTCAGAGCTCATGTATCGCTGCGAAACACGTGCTGGTATTGTGATTGGAAACATTGTGCTGATCTTATTACACATGTTCAAGGAGAGACGTTCCTGCGGAATGATCCGTGACGTATGCTGCGTATGGATGCGTACATAATTGTTTTGGTTTTTTTCCCTGGTCATTTATTTTTCTCCTTTTGTTTAGACTTGATTTCCACACGTACAAATGCATGTACATGGTTGTTATGTGTGTAAATGTATGTTGTTTTGATGGAAACTTTCCGATTGTGTGTTATGGATCTGAAAGCAGCTCGTGTTTACCTGTGTGAATGGCTCCATTGAAAACCATGCAGATCTATAATTAACCATTTGCTGACTGCTGTAGTGGAAAAATGGCAACAACACAGTTGTTTTGTTCTGGGAGGACATCTATAGATCTCTTTCAAAACCCTGCCCCCCTGTGTGCTCCCGGGGTGCACGTCGGTCGCGCTCTGTGATCACAGAAAGAATATTTGGACAAACTACAGTCCAGGGGCCAGATGTGGCCCTTTTGTTAGCCTTTATCTGGCCCTTGGGGCACTAGTCCTCTAATGACACCAACAGTGGGGTATAATTCCTGACACTGTTGTTGGCATTCTATGGATCCTGTATAAAAATAACAACATCAGTTGCAGGAATTATACCCCACTATTGGTGTCATTGGAGGAACAGTGCCCCATCGTTAATGTCAGTGGCAGGAATTATACCCCACTGTTGGTGTCATTGGAGGAACAGTGCCCCATCGTTAATGTCAGTGTCAGGAATTATACCCCACTATTGCTGTCATTGGAGGAACAGTGCCCCATCGTTAGTGTAAGCTCCAACAAGCAGGGCCCTCTGATCCCTCTTGTATCATATTGTAATGTAAATTTAACGTCTGCCTTCATTTTGTAAAGCGCTGCGCAAACTGTTGTTGTTAGTATTATACAGGATCCATATAATGCCAACAGTTTGCGCAGCGCTTTACAAAATGAAGGCAGACGTTACATTTACATTACAATATGATACAAGAGGGATCAGAGGGTCCTGCTTGATGGGGCACTGTTCCTCCAATGACACCAACAGTGGGGTATAATTACTGACACTAACGATGGGGCACTGTTCCTCCAATGACCCCAATAGTGGGGTATAATTCCTGCCACTGACACTAACGATGGGGCACTGTTACGCCAATGACACCAACAGTGGGGTATAATTCCTGACACTTAACGATGGGGCACTGTTCCTCCAATGACCCAATAGTGGGGTATAATTCCTGCCACTGACACTAACGATGGGGCACTGTTCCTCCAATGACTCCAATAGTGGGGTATAATTCCTGCCACTGACACTAACGATGGGGCACTGTTCCTCCAATGACCCCAATAGTGGGGTATAATTCCTGCCACTGACATTAACGATGGGGCACTGTTCTTCCCACTTGTTGTTGTTATTATTATACAGGATTTATATCGCGCCAACAGTGTTTACAAAATGAAGGTTGACATTACAGTTACAATACAATTTGGTACAAGAGGAAACTGATACGAATGATGGGGCACTACTCTTCCTCCTACTAATCACCGAGCTGTGGCTGTGGCAATGTGACTACCCCCCCAGAGTCTGCAGGACCATAGACTGGCCCTTTGGAAGGTTTAGAGACCCCCGCTTTAAACTATGTGTGGGAGAATGCTGCTTCAGAAACCTTTAGAAGTGCCAACAAACCTGCCAGGTGTATTACTACTATAATTGTATTGCTGGTCATTTTTAAAGCAGAACTAAACCCTCCTCTACAGTCAAGGTAGCTGGCATCTTAGCCTTTGTTTCAGCTGCAGTTGCCATGGAGCTGCCCATGTGATCAGTGATGACACCAGCCATTTATCTGATGGCTTGACAGGTTGGTTCAGAGCAGAAGCAGCTGTGACCGTTCTCATTCACAGCATACGTTGAGCTTGTGGGACCGTTCTGGGAAACTGTTAAATCGATGGGTTTAGTTCTATTTAAAATTTTTAATTACTGGAAAAGCATATCATTTTGTTAAACTAAGTTGTATGAATGAAGCTCGGGAATGGATGTGGATAGCTCGGTGCCTGCTGACCATGCACATGGAAATGTGATTGTACAATCTCCTTCAGATGAACTGGTTATGTAGTGCTAGGTGCAGCTTGGAGCCAAATGAACTGTTTAGGTACGCACCCGCATGAACTAGTTCTGGTAAATCTAGAGCATCTCACATGTTAGTCTGACCATATGGTCTCCATACAATCAACTTTAAATAGCCAAAGCTATGTAATATGAGCATCCATCTGAACCAACAACCAATCTGCTACCAGTCACAGGGCCTCCCACTGCATATTTGGTGGTTGTACGGTCAGATTCTAACTTGCATGCTGAGGTTTCAATGTGTTGTAGCCAGGTTGAGGTTGAACCCATTTTTTTCATGTTTATCTGTAAAATGACCCCCATAAGAAGTGTGTTCTTTAAAAATAAAAATCCCTCCTGGAAATAATGGTTTGTAATTACCCAACTGACCTTGCCCTATGGAGGTAAAGTTGCTCTGTGAGCACAAACTCGCCACCCGAACATTTCTGTGTTGGTGGCACAAAGATGGTTGTAGTGCACGTCGTCATTTACCTGTAGCCTAATCTAGGAACCCTTTCATCCTTCAGTTCTAGCCTAGCAATATTGTGGGCCTTGTCCAATAAGCCTATGTGAAGCTAGATCTATGATTCTTCAATAGTGGCTTTTATAAATAATTCCAACTGTACACCTTTTATATTTCAGCCTGGCCCTGCTGCAAGTTCCACCAATGTTGGTGCCTCTGGTCGTTCACCAAGTAAAGCAGTTTCTCCAAGAGCAGCAGGATCTACTGTGAGACAAAGGTAGGACAAACAAACTTTCTGGGCTGGACACTAGTTGGTTTATTCAGTAAAGCTGAAGAGTGCAAAATCAGTCTCACCTCATCATATTTACCAATCAGATTCTAACCTCAGCTTGTTCAATTAACCTCCCTGGCGGTATTCCCGAGTGTAGCTCGGGGTAAAATTTCAGTACCAAGAGCGGTAACCGCGAGCTACACTCGGGCTTATCATGCGGCGTTGCTCAGGGAGTCCCTGCAGCACTTACCTTGTCCTTCGCTCCCGCGATGTGTCCCCTGCAGCGTCCCCGGCCATCTCCTCTGGCCGATGCCGGCTTCCATGTTCCGGTCCCTGTGACGTCGGGACGTACGGGGGCCGGAAACGGCGGCAAATTTGAAATTTTTTAAATGTCATTTTTTTTTTAAAAATGATTATTATATAGTAAAACATTGCTGTTTCAATGCATTTCACATACATTTTGTCCCTACTGCTTTGTCCGGCGCCCTGCCTGCATTTTGTCTGTTCTTTCTGCCTGGAAACTTAGAAAAGTTCATGGTGTCCAAAAAGCGTCCCTTTACGTCAAAAGCGGTTTTAGACCGGCTAGAGAACAGCGATAGTAAATCAGAACCACTTGCAGAATTGAGTGATAATGATTTGTGGGGGAAATTCGTCATCAGACACTGAAAACGATTTTGCGACTTTGCTCAGCGATGTGCGAATTTGCCTCTGTATTTCAAATTTCAGTGTTTTTGGTTTGATTATATTATTGAATTAAATATATTATTATTATATTATTTTTTATGATTTATTAAATTATAAATTATGATTTTGTGTTTCAAGTTTTATCATATCTGGAATGTTTACTAGACTCTTGTTCGGACAGATTTCAGTAAGTTATTCCTAAAAATTACAGCCTACAATAAAAAAAACTACATATTTCCATGCAAAAAAAATGGTACCGCTTTCAGCACAAAAAATCAGAAATAATCAGACCGCCAAGGAGGTTAAGCTTTGACAATACAACCTGGAAGCTGATTGGTTTCTCTGAAGAAGTGAGCCTATTTTTGCACTCTCCAGCTTTAGTAAATAAACCCCTGAATTATACTCTAAAGTCAGAATGACTTTCTGTGGAGTTCACACGTAATGCATTTGGAACAGAACTTCTGGTTGGTTGTTGAGCTAGATCCATCTAATCAACCAGCTTTTGAATGCCAGAGACTTGCTACATCTTGAGGTATTGGCATTTGACACCTAAACTACAGACATGTCTTAAAACGGACCTTACATAAAATCAAAGGTCTGTTTTACTCGTCTCCCCTTCCCCTTACTCCCCCCACCCTCAAAAAAAATCATTTGAAAATTAGATTGTCCAAAAATTAGGAAAAAAATATTCACTTTGGCCTGGCTTCTCAGGTCTCCAGGAGGGGTAAGTGATGCTGCTGTGCCTCCCATAGAAATGGGCATTCAGAATCTGAAAGCAATTGCACTCCTTCCCTGTGAATGTTACTATTTGTTTCTAAGTACATTCTTTATGATCTCTCCACCTCCAACCAAAAAGAAAAACTACAAGCAGTGGTGCAAGAAGTGCTGGACGGACCACATCTGCTGGCACAGGAGGCATGTGGCGATTCTATACAGAGGACTCTCCAGGTCTTAAAGTGTAGGTTTTATTGTCTTTTTTTTTTTTTTTCCCCCTCTATATTGTTTAGTTCAGATATTATCAATGTATTCCTACACCTGCAAATTGTGTGTACATTTTTTTTTTTTTATCTATTCAGTCAGACTGCTAATTATTCAATATAAAGGAGTGATCTAAGGGATTTCTAGGGTTTGTCAGTGTAGGCATTGTTCAATGCAAGTGAATAACCATTTAAATAAAACCATTTCCAAAATAAATATACAAATTCAACTCCCCCACAGCACAATCAACATCTTCACCCCTAAAAATGTGTGTAAAATAATATAATACAGAAAATGCTACTAAAGAGTTGAAAACTCTTCAATAACACACTACAAGTGAAGTCCAATCCCTAATAAGTCCACAAAATATAAACCATAGTCTTCCTGTGTAATCATGGTGAAAAATTGTGTCCAAAGGAAATCTAAATCCTTCCAACGATTTCCACGATAAATGACCCCTCAAAAAAAAGAAACATCACATAGTGCATTATCTTTTATATTACATATAAACATGTGATACAAGTGAGTATCCCATCAAAACTTTGCAGTGAAAAAGAACTGTGAATCAAACGGTGAAACAACACTGTGTGTGTGTGAATCACTCTTCAGTGCCCAAACACAAGCCAACACAGGGTACACTTCTAATTATAGTAAGGAGTGGGTACCCTTACCAACAATCCCAAATAATCACGCCTATAATATAATCCAATAACTGGTGAGAAATGGCCCTCCAGTAGATCTTCACACGGCATATACAGTCTCCACGGCACTACCTGGATTCATCAGCCATAGTACTCCATGTGTCCCCATACACCTTGCTCCATTCAGATGTACATATATATGAGAGACAATAGTAATGTAATACCGCCAAGATAAATGCAATAATAAACTTTAATCAAACTGCTCACATTATTCCAGCCTTTAAAACCGTTTTCTATACAATAAAAGTAACCTTTCCGCCATCCAGGAAACGTCCAGGCTCTCGCCGGTGATCCTTCCCTTTTCCAAAATGGCCACCGGTCTACTTCCGGTTCCCATGTGCGTCTTGATGTCACTTCCCTTGACGCGTTTCGTCATCGACTTAATCATAAGGGATACGATCGTTAGACAAGGAAGTTCTTTTTATACCCCTCCTCTGTATGGCGCCGATACACGTGCCGCCATATTTGAGAGGGGAACGTTGCCCTTACTATCGGCTATAAAAAAAATTTCCATAAAGATGCGTATGCGTACATAACTTTTTATGAATTATTTTCCCATTTGTTTAGACTTAATATACGCGCGTTCAACAGTGTTTACATGTATTTATATGCATAAGTGTGTAAATCGCATGTTCTTGGTTTCTGTTACGTATGTGAAAGCAGCTCTTATTTATGCAGTTGTGTGACTGGCTCCATTGAAAACAATGCAGCTGTGTTCATATATTTTTAATGGCCGCATGAATGAAGTCTCAGCCACTGTGCTGCCTGTGCATCATGTCGCTGTAGTTTACATCTATCACATTGTATGTATGTATGTTCATGGTTATTGCTTAATACCATTTTTTTTTTTTCCCCCCCCCCCCCCCCTATAGAGGGCCTGTTCCAGTACTGGTGATGAGTCTACTTTTTATTGCTTCTGTGTTCATGCTTCACATCTGGGGTAAATACACACGTTCTTAAACTCGCTCAAGGGTACTTTGGACCAAATAAGTTTTGGACTTCTTCTTCAGAGAACTACCATCTTGCATCTAAGTGTAGACATAACTTGTGGTTTTGTCAAACTTTTAAAATATGATTTTTTTGTAAATAAAACAAAAAAAGATCAAAAAAGTGTAAAATGTGTCTGCTATCATTTAATATTCTGGATGATGTAAATTCACACAAACCTATTGCATTAATTGTATATTACTTGCTAATAAACAAATTAAAAAAAATCATATTCTCTTTTAAAGATTTACTTAATGGGGCCACATGAGGATATTGAACAACAGCAGTTTTGTGTGGGGTGTGTATACTTTTGCAATTAGGTTTAGATGCACTTTAAGACAAATGTGATTACAAATTCACCATGTCAAAAATATAGTGGAAGAAAAGTTTGTTTTGAAAGACAAAACTAAGGTATAACTAAAGACAAAAATTATTTTTAGTTTTGGACAGAGCAGAGATGGATTAAAACACCTATTGGGTTTTTTATTGCCCCCATTAGGGAGATTCATCCTGTCTACTTGTCCTGTTTACTGTATCATTGAAAGTTAATTTAAAAGAAATCTCACATTTTTGGTTGTCCCCAGAAAAGTAATGATGTGGAAATCTTCCAATGGGGACATTGGTGCTGGTGTCCAATAGCTTCCCTTATTTTTCAAGGATTTCCTCTCGCTTCCTGTTTGGCTGTAGGACAGGAAGTGCAAGTAAATCTCCCCCAATGGGACACAGATCGCAAAAAAAAACTCTGGCAGAGGTTATAACCCTAACCACTTGCCAACCAGCCTCAGTACATATACTGACCATGATGAAATCACGTGTTAGTCATGACGCAAACTGTAGGCACGTGGTGACGCAATATCCGGCGTGGACGCCATCTTGGTACTCCAAAACTAACCCATGCAAATTACATCCATAGCATGAGGTTGAAATGCTTTGTATCTACTGATACCAAGTGAGTGAGCATTGGCATTATTATGGCTATAGATGTATAATAAATGGTATTACACTATGGAGGCTCTCTTTTTCATGTCATTAATATGAGCCATATGAGAGTTGGCTATATTACGGGCACGTACACCTAAAGGGAACCTGAAAGTGATCTGAGATGTTAAACGCATGATATTGAAGTGGCCTATACTACTGCTTGGAAGGATACCACAAAGGGGAAATTGTGGAGGATCCAGTTGTGATCCAAAAGCGGTTTGACCCATTGGGTCATAGTAAGGAGGTGAGGAGGTAATTCAGCCATTCTTTGGATTTATCACCAGCAGCTGTATTGCACATCCACAGCACCACCTGCATGTTTTGGAAAAAATGAGTGGAACACTTGGCTTATATGCACATCGTTTTTGGACTTTTATATTTTTAAGAATTATTTTTGGTTTTTCGTATATTTCACTATATTTTTAGGTATTATTTTGGGATTTATTTTGAGGAATATGCAGTGGGGAGGAGGTTGTGATTCTTAGGTATTGTGAATTTTTGGGAGTGTTTTTTGGTCACTGAGCACTATTCACTTTATATGAGGATTATCCCCCAGTGCAGGGATTCACTTATATGTGGCACTTGTTTTGTTTGCTTTTTAGGCTGTGTCCAGCCACTGATCCCAATTAGGGATTTGGGTATTGGTTAGCACTTTGTGTGTGTTTACCACATTGGGTCCAATTAGGACCCAGTTAAAGGAAGAGGAGAGAGAAAGCAGGTGAGAAGAAAGGGAGAGGTGGGTTGGCTAACATTGTGAAAAGGCTACATAGCAAAAAAATTTCTTGAGAATAAAGACTTGGAAGGCTTCAGAGAATCTAATGTCATTCTTCAAGATATGCTTTCAAGGAAAGCATAACTATCAGGTGGAAATAAGGCATGAGGATGCTGAATCCATTGGGACCATACATGAGATTTTTAATCTGATGTCTTGTTACCAACTTTTGAATTTTGAGGAACATGAGGCTAGCATTTTTTTCTTCAGTTCCATTTGCCACACAGTCTGGAGTTTGTCAGATATCACTATCAACACACCTTCCCTCTTTAGGAGGTTACACGGAACGGACTGAAAGGTACTTTCCAACACAATTGACTTCTGCTTGACAGACAATCAATCAGCATTGCAATCCTGAGCCAGCAGAGCATCTTGTTTGCCCTTAGAGGGTATAGTGCCAAAACCTCTGGGTACCATGTGGCATTGTCCACTACTGTCAAGATAAATTGTTTGTCTGAAATACTGGGAATGGATAGTGGCCCAATTTAGGACCATCCTCTTAAAAGGTTTATGAATTATAAGGAAAAATTGCAATGGAGTCCTGTAAGCATCTGCTGTTTTGACACGACTGGCAAGTAACATGGGACAGCCAGTAGTTAGCTATGTCTAATCATGTTGGAACAGAACAAATCACTTGGGCCCTGATTTTAATGATTCCCAACTGGAGGGATTTCATGTGCCACCTTCAACAAGTGTTGAAGGCTGGCCTTTGCCCATTTCTGCCTCATTGTCTTCAGTAGGAAAATCCTCTGTACAGCTTTCCATTTTTCCAGTGCCAACACTGGCAATACATTATCAAGTTCAACAATTACATTTTCTGCATCAGACATTTTGAGCATGCAAGTTTGTTATTCCTCCTCTGTCCATCCTCATGTTACCAGGATGTCGAATCCACATCTTTGCACTGTACCTTAGTATGCCCAGAGGGTCTGGTTGGTAAATCCTGATTGTCATTAGAGGGTGCATAGTGTGAAATCAGAAATTTCCAGATCTTCACCTAACAGCACTAGGGGTGGGTGGACATATTGCATGTGTGGATGCTCCAAGGACAGAGCTGATGCGCTCATCCCCGAAGGGGGTAAAAACATAAATCAAGCATTCGGGTGCTAGGAAAAAGGAGTGTCTCACTCCGATCTGTGAAGGGGGTAGAGAAGAAAAGTACTATCAACAGCCTAGAATATGTAAATACAGGTCTGGCTCAAAGTCAGGTAGAAAGACCCATGATGGGAATGGTATTCGGGGGTCATTCGGAAAAGTGAGTCCAACAAGACCAGGTATGGGAGAATTTAGTTGGGTTATCTTGGGAAGAAGCAATCGGCTTCCATCTCCGCAATTCTTCCTAAGCGTGTGAACCAATCTTGTATTGGGGGGGGGGGGTGAGTAGATCCCCATAAAACAGGTAGACAGAGTCTAGCCGCATTAAGCATATGCATTGCTAGTGATTTGAAATATAAACGTTTGGGGAGTGAGGTATGGTGGAGGAGAAATTGGGCCGGGGAGAAATCAAGAGGTATACTGGACACTGTGAGGTTATACGGTGTACTCCTGCCAGGATGGACAATAGGGCAGGACCACCAAATATGGAGAAGGAACCTTCAGGTACTCCACATCAACAGTTATTCGGTAGAGAAGGAATAAACGATGAATTCTGGAAAGGGTAATGTACCAGCGGGAGGCCAGCTTGTATCCATTTTTTGTGTCGATACATTCAGCACATTTGTGAGAGTATGTAAAAAATTTGGTCCCAATCTGAGGAAGAAAAATCTATATCAAGGGTCTCTCCTCCAAGCTCGGCAAGCGGGGAAGTTAGGATTTGCAGCACCAGTTAGAAGGAGGTATATGAATGAGGATTAGGTGCCTCTGGGGTTCAGCCTTAGAACAAATTGATTCAAAGGGGGTGAGAGAGCGAACCATTTGTGGCGATGTGCAGGGGATAGAAGAAAATGCCTAATTTGAAGGTAAGCCCAAAAGGGGAAGGTATGATCCTTCATGGTGCTCGCCAAAGAAGAGAAGGATTTCAGTTGGCCTTTATGAAAAAAGTGTTCCGCTTTCACTGGCCATGCGGCCACTCCAACCTCTTATCCAATTCCCAGCCTGCCAATCTATGAAAAAACATGCATGGGGTTCACTAGAGCAGGTTCCTCCAACTCCAGTGAGAGTAATGTGCTTCTCTGGAATTATATATGCAAAACAAAAAATGACGATCTACTGTAGAGAATTATTGTTACACCCAGATAACACATTTCTTAAACACTCTAGAACTTCAATCAGATTTGACCACTATGACATCTCCATACTATTCTTGTAAAAATATCAACAAGGTATCAGGCCACATCTCAAAAATGTTTTTCTTAATCATTCAAAATCTGCCAAATTACCCTATATGACTAGATAGGAGTGAGATTTTGATGAGGATCTAGACCCCAGTGAGTTAGATAAGTTGGCCCTCAGTGCCTCCAAGTCCTATATGAACACTTCAATTATGGAAGGAAACTATAAAGTGCTTTTAAAATGGTACATGGAATACCTTCTTATGTCCCAGGTGCGTCCCCTAATTGTTTCAGGGAATGCAGGCAGGAATTGTTGGAATATCATATTTGGTGGTTGTGTCCAAAGGTCAAAAGATTTTGGATCCAAGTTTACAATTTTATATATTCTTTAACACATATTAATCTTAAAAAACAATTGCCCTGCCAAGCTCATCTGAACCAATCTATTAGAAGAAACACTAAAAAAACTGATCTCATTTATTTTCCTAGCACCTTGTTTGTTTTTTCTAACACCTAAGACAGAAAATACCAGGTATTGGAATCCCTTGTCCATCTTGTTTTGCATTGATCATCTAAGTGAATGACGTGCACAGTGCTTGTTGTGCCTCCTGGGATATACATGTCACATATCCCAGGAGGCATAGCCCTTTATTCAAAAAGGAGTAGGGGGTGTACCTAGCACCACATCATCAGGAAGCATGCTGGCTAAACCTGAAAGAGTTGGCAGGTCTCTCGATGATGTCATAAGCAACAGGGAGAAGAAATGTCACCATAACATTAAGGATTATTCAAATGGGTCCAATACATACAAAAGCAATGTTCTGGAGCCACGCAGGTCCCCTGTATCAGGCAAGTGATGAAGAGGGGCCCCTGCGTGCCTCCGAAACATTGTCTTTGTATGTACCATGTGAACACGAAATAATGGTTTGAACAGGGGCGGACTGACAACTCATGGGGCAATAGGGGATCATGGGGCCCCTTTGTCCTTGCTCAAAATCAAAAAAGCCTATGAAAAAGGTACCAAGGGCATCTCATGGGGCCCCCTACTGACCCCGGGCCCTCGGGCAGTGCCCGAGTTTCCAAATGGTCAGTCCGGCCCTGGGTTTGAACCCATTTGAGGAATCCTTGGTGTGCTGGGGACATTTCTACCCATTGAGTGTCTACGATTCCCAGCCTGTGGTCACTGCAGCACCCATCAATGCTGAAAAGCCATCTTTAGGAATGTGTGGGAATATTGTGATTGGACAAGCAACATGACAGCGCAAGACAAGGTGGTGGCAGAAGACAAGAGGATCTCAGCGGGACAGCGCTGGATCCTCTGTGTGGGTGAGTATCTGAAATGTGCGCAACGGACCACCCAATAAACAGGGGTAAAAGAAAAAAAAACGGGAGAAGGGGGTAAAGATCCACTACTAATGTTTTCTTCTGGAAATACTGTACATCACTTTGGCAAATATGATACATGACTTCCAACTATAGAGACATACATTTTTTATGGCGAAGAAACGCCATTTATGCCAGCATATATATATATCCTATTTTACATGTGTATTTGTTATGGTCGCAAGTGAATCACATGGAAGTTTTTATGTCTTGTTTTTGTACATCACTGTCATCTTAAAAGTAATATAAACTATTGGAAAAGAAAAATGTAAAATTGTGGTGCTGAGCTTAAATGGTGTGACGTATGGGAGCTTTCTGCAACTGCTGGTAAATTTCAGCAAAATACCCAGAGAAAAGTCACAGCTTGAACAAGTAAAAATAGAAGCAGAACTTGCTCAGAGAACAGAATACTCACTAAGGAAACAACTGAGAACAGATGAACAAGTATCCAGTAAATAATGTATTGGACAGTGGCTAGGTGTCTAAAGCTGGCCATTCATTAGTACATTTTCAAGCAAACATTTGCATGAAAATTCACATAAAAGATCTCAGTACATTTGATGTTGATGATGATGACAAATGTTATTCAAAAGTACTTCAAAATTTCGTTTTCTTTTAACATTCAGTTTTGGAATTAATAGACTTTCTCGAATGAAAGCCAAATAGGCTGTTAAAAATTTGTTCCAGAAAAATTTCCATCCTGCTCCTTTGAATTGTCTTGTCACTGCAGTCAAAAATGAACATTGGTTTGACGCCACTAAATGTTAGAAAATCGAACAAATGTTTTTGGAACAAAAAATTGTTGACCGAATGTAATGTGCATGAAATTCGCTTAGTGGAAGCTATGATTGTTATTTTAAGTTCAACCTGTAGGCTAAACAAAAAAAAAATCTGAACAAGAGAAATCTAATAGATTCCTCCATTCATGCTGAACAGTTGGGAGACGGAGAATCTCCTTGTCTTCTTTTGTATTCTGAGAACTGGCACACACAGCTGTCAGTTAACCAAAACAGTGGCTGCATTTGATTTGATGCAGCAGCTGTTTGGCTGTCAATTCTCTGCTCAGCTCTTTCAACTTTTCAATTACCCTAGGTAACCTAAGCGTTTTCCGCAGCATTTTGCAGAAATGCACTACAGTCCATTTAACATGATTTCCTATGGGACACGTTCACGTCTCCGCGTTTTTACCCGGTATGTTTTTAATGCAAAAAGTTGCGTTTTTGGTTCTATAGACTTCAATGGAAACGCTGCAGAAAAGCATGTAGTGCATTTTTGAAGCGTTTTGCATTTTAAATCTGCCTAGCAACAAGAAAAAAAAACAAAAAATGCATCAAAAACGCATGTGCAAAAACGCAATGCAAAACGCACTACAGAAACGGATCAAATGCAAACTGCAAAGGTGTGAACCTCGCCTTATATTGATGTTGGTCCTGCTGTCCAAATGTGGTACCACAGACTAATTAAAAAGATATACCCATATGTACCCAATCAAGAATATTCTACGTTTTTGTTACAAGGATAACTATTCATGCTTTTTAATGCCATGTCATGCAAATGGGGTGCCACATTGTACTTTTTAACTCTTAAAGTGATACTAAACACAGGACCCTGCATTCATTCGGTCATCCTCAGTACACAGAACATGGAAATGCAATTATTTTAAAAATATAAACTGCTAAATACCTTTTCTCATCAGCAGTTATAGCAGTCTTGTGACTTCAGCAGAGCACTGGTTAAAGCTTGTAGGAAGAGTTTTCTTTCTGCTCTAGGAGGATGTGAAACCCCTGACCCTCTGTCTGGACAGTGCTGATTGGCCCTGTGCTGATCACATGCATCTCCAAAGAAAAAAAAAAAACCATCTCTCGCAATACACACCAAAGTGAGCATGTGTATGTGACTACGGATTCGGTCTGTATTAGGTGTTCATTTCAACAAGAGGAGGGGCAGAGAAGAAAGGATCAAACAGCCTTTTTACACAATGCAGAGGATTAACCCCTTAGGTTCTATAGTGAGTATAACAAGCATGCTTTAATGCATATACAGACTGATTTTACCGTTGTGGGTTTAGTAACACTTTAAACCCAGAAAGCTGACGTAATTTTTGATTACTGTGACAAATACCTATTGTGAAGTATATTTCTGTTTCTGGCTTGACATCCTTCTTAAAACAATCTTTTTGTCTACTGACAATGTTGAAATAAGGGTCTTTGGGGAGCAGAACTATGCCGGGCTAATACCATTTGCTAAACTGACACTGGGACAGTGATGTGTGATGTACAGTTGTGTTCAAAATAATAGCAGTGTGTTGAAAAAAGTGAATAAAGTTCAAAATCCTTCTAATAGCTTTTATTTCCATCCACACAAATGCATTGGGAACACGTTCTATTCCAAATCAAAACATGAAGAAAAATATATCAAATTTGTGTTGTTCCTCTAAAAAAATTGAAGAAAAGTGAATATTAGACTGTTCAAAAAAATAGCAGTGTTTGTATTCTTCTTTACAAACTCAAACATTCACTATATAAACTGAGAAATGTTTGAAGATTTTGCTTTCCTTTGAATGACTTGATGAATATTTGTTGTAGTCGCACTGTTTCTGAGAACTGCTGTACATCTGTGTTGCATGGAGTCACCCAACTTCTGGCACCTGTGATCAGGTATTCCAGCCCAGGATGATTGGACTACATTCCACAGTTCTTCTCTATTTCTTGGTTTTGCCTCAGAAACTGCATTTTTGATGTCACCCCACAAGTTTTCTATTGGATTAAGATCCGGGGATTGGGCTGGCCACTCCATAACGTCCATCTTGTTGGTCTGGAACCAAGATGTTGTACGTTTACTGGTGTGTTTGGGGTCGTTGTCTTGTTGGAACACCCATTTCAAGGGCATTTCCTCTTCAGCATAAGGCAGCATGACCTCTTCAAGTATTCTGATGTATTCAAACTGATCCATGATCCCTGGTATGCGATAAATAGGCCCAACACCGTAGTATGAGAAACATCCCCATATCATGATGCTTGCACCACCATGCTTCACTGTCTTCACAGTGTACTGTGGCTTGAATTCAGTGTTTGGGGGTCATCTGACAAACTGTCTCCGGCCACTAGACCCAAAAAGAACAATCTTACTTTCATCAGTCCACAAAATGTTGCGCCATTTCTCTTTAGGCCAGTCAATGTGCTCTTTGGCAAATTATAACCTCTTCAGCACATGTCTTTTTTTCAACAGTGGGACTTTGCGGGGGCCTCTTGCAGATAGCTTGGCTTCACATAGGCGTCTTCTAATTGTAAACAAAATATATAATATTCCTGCGCCAACAAAAAAGTGCCATATACAAAATATGTGTATTCCTCTTCTAAATTGCTGCTGTGCAGAAAATGTGAAAACACAAATAAGAACGCCCTGTGGGAGGGGCGAAACGCGTTGACGCAATTTCCGGTCCACACATCTGACGTCTGACGTCACTTCCGGTGAGTGGAGCGCACGCCAGGCGGTGCGTTCCAGCGGCCATTTTGAGGGATTTAGACTGGTCTTCTGCTGTTCCTCTGCTCTTACTGGCTTTTATTGATGTGAGAATCCTGGATTTTGTGGCTGTTTGCTGGTTCTTAATATCAGGCTGGTGTTGGCCTAAATAAATGCGCCTTTTACAAGTTGAAAAAATGTGAGTGGCCTGGATTCTGTCTTCTGTTATAATATCTATCTGGCAATATTACACTATATACGTTTTTTTTCTCCGATACGGTGGAGTAAACTAGGATACCACAGTGAGGACCTGGGAGAAGATACATACCTGGTGGGGCAGGCTACTATTGATCTGATGCAAAGAGGGTTTAGGATTTCCCAAAAATCCTTAAAGGCTTTTCATTCACCAAAATCTGGTGAGTGTATTTGATGTTGGTGTGCACGGGTGATAGGTGGAAGTTTCCTAAAAGCATTTGGAATCCTCAGCTTTCATCACAAGTGGTTTTGGGGTGTCTTTCCTGAAGATTTTTTGACAGAGATATGCACTAATGATTATTGGACATTTATGTTTTGTGATTCACTAAATTTGTATGAAGGTCTATTTTGCGCTGTTTCATTTATAAATATTATTTATCTTCTAATTGTAACAGTCCTCACAGGGAACTTTACACCTTCTTTCAACTTCCTGGAGCTGATTGTTGGCTGAGTCCTTGCTATTTTGGCTATTCTTCTATCCATTCGAATGGTAATTTTTCACTTTCTTCCACGTCTTTCAGGTTTTGGTTGCCATTTTAAAGCATTTGCGATCATTTTAGCTGAGCAGCCTATCATTTTCTGCACTTCTTTATATGTTTTCCCCTCTCCAATCAACTTTTTAATCAAGGTACGCTATTCTTCTGAACAATGTCTGGAACGACCCATTTTCCTCAGAATTTCAGAGAGAAATGCACTGTAACCAGCATGTACAACATTTGCTGCCTTCCTTCCTTAAATAAGGGCAATAATTGCCACCTGTTTTTCAAAGAATGAATGACCTCACTAATAGAACTCCACACTGCTATTATTTTGAATGTGCCCCTTTCAATTAGTGATTCAATGACACAGAATCAGCAGCATGCATCTCATGACTGTTGGGTCGGTTGGATTTCTATTACTCTACTACACCTGCTAGTAAATTATTTGCCATGTAGAAATATCATTTCTACCAAAAACAGTGATTGATCAGGATAGGGATGTCTGACTGCTATTATTTTGAACACTACTGTATATATCCTGGGAAACTGTAGGTGTTCAAATACAGTACCTCATCCTCACCTTGGCGAGGAATATGGAAGTGAAATAAGTTACTGTTGGACCACCCAGACCATGAACTAGAGGAAGGAGGATGATTTCACCAGTTCTTCATCATGCCTGGCAGCACTAGGGTAGTCGGTTCGAATTTTAACAACGGGACTACCTGCATGGAGTTTACATGTTCTCCCTGTGCCTGCGTGGGTTTCCTCCCACACTGCAAAGACATGCTGGTAGGTTAATTGGCTCCTGTCTCAGTTGGCCCTAGTATGTGTATGAATGGGAGTTAGGGACCTTAGACTGTAATCTTCTAGAGGGCAGGGACTGATGTGAATGTATAATATATAAATGAAAGTGCTGCGTAAATTGACAATGCTATAAAAGCACCTGAAATATATTGTGGCAGTGCGGTGTCCTGCCACGGTCAAAATAAAGCTGAAAACCCTGGATTCTCAACCAGGCAGGTTGAGGGGCTCCAGAGAGTTGATATATTGCAGAGGAAACTGGCTTTTCAGTTTCCTCATATATTCATTAAGTCTGTTTTGGGATCTGGAGCCTGGAGATTTCAAAGAGATCTGGGAGGGATGAAATCTCCAATCCGGGGTCCATGTTTTGAGAACCCCCAGCACACTGATTGCACAGGTGTGTGCAGGACTTTTTATAGAGGACTAACCATAGTTCTGGGCTCCACCCCGGCAAACGGAGTCAGGAGGGCTCCACAACGGCAGGCAGGAGGTCTCTGCCTTGGAGTCAGGTGGAAGCCAGACTAGCTGTGTGCTAGTGCCATATTTTGGGAAGACTCTGCAGGAGACAGAGTTAAAACTGTGTACAAGCCAGGAGGCTGAATACTGTTAATTTGATTGATGGTGGATACCCCTGTGTGGGAAGCATTTTATTTGAACTTTCTTGTAAATAAAATTGGGCAAAAAGGCCCTTAAATAGAAGCGAGTTGCTATGTACTTTGAAAAAGCTCTACCAGTTGAAGCGAGTTCCCACATATGGTGGAGGATGCAGTGGGCAGAACTAGAGATCCCAGCAAGGAAGTAAGTTCATGTGTTGAACTGTGTTTGGTGCATGACTCTGCACTATCACTGTGTGCAGGTGAGGAGATCCTGCAAGAGAAAAGGAACTTGCCTTAAAGAGACAGTGCTCCATTGTGTTGCTGGACTGTGCAAAATTGTTGTGGAGTGACTGCAAGTATGAGGCATGCAAAGAGAAAGGACATTATTCTAAGGCGGGAAGATTCCCCAGTTTTTGAGTCCGCTGTAGAGTGGGGTCAGCGCCTGCTGGCAGCAGTGAACCCAGTTAAAGGGGAAGTGCATGCTGTTGCCCCTGGCAATGCTGGTGAAAGGAAATCCGCTTTCTTGGTGCAGAATCCTATGCTTGAAAGAGGATGCAGTGTTGGATGTCCAGCCAAGATACTGCCACAAGAGCGCTGTTTGCGGTGCAGTGAATGGGGGCACACTGTCTCCAAGTGCCCTTTATCCCAGCTTCCAGTACAAGGTGACAGAACCAGACAAAGGTCTGGTTATGCAATTGGGAAGCCTGCTTGTAGTTCCAGGAAGGAGCAGCAGGCTGCCCACAAATTTCAGAAGAATGTGGTTGCCCATAGCAACACCTGTGACTTCAGGCATGCGTACCCTGTGAGAGAAGTGTCTACAGAGGATTGTGGCAACGCAGGGATGAGAGTTCAGCACATCTGGAGGAACCCACAAAGTTCAGCTGGGAGAGTGCCATCTCCCATAGCAACAGGAGAAAGCCTGCCAACCAGGAGAAGGGGCTACAAGGGAGATGTGGTTCCCTATCCCAAGAAGGTTATCTGTGGAACCATACCCTGCCTGGAATGTGGTCAGTTTGGGCATGGTATCTTTACCTGCCCCATATTATGGAATACCACTGATGAGGGTGCTACTGGGCAAAAGTCTTCATCTGCAAGCCCAGATTCATGTTTAAAAATGTTGGCAGCCACCTCTAGCAACAGTGAAGTACCTGTTGTGCCAGCAGGGGGTGCCAAGGAGTCAGAAGTGCCTGCCACAGTGTCATCCTATAGCTGCATGGATGAACTGGCTGGCCAAAGCCAAGCAGAGGAGATGACAGACAGGATCCAGATCCCACGCACTCAAGTGAAGAAGGTG